TCCTTTGAAGGAGAGGATACATGCAGCCATAAAAAGTCCTAGAAGATAAATGAGCAATGCTGATATTAAACTAGGCATGTAGGTCCAGTCAATTCTTAACTCTTCTTCGTAAGAAGTTAGTAGATACGGTTTGGGAGGTGATAATGTTTAGAAAAGAAAGAAAGAAAACCACTACATCTCTCTAACCCCATTTGTCCATGTCCTCCAGGAGTCCCAGCCTCTCCTGTATCTCTCTCTCTCCCTCCCTGTGTTCACATTGTCCTTGTCACTTTCTCTTCCTTGTGTTCATATTGTGCTTGTGTTTGTTTTGCTTCTTTCATACGTGTGAATGGTGCCCTCGAGTTTTGCCTTGTATATTTATGTATCGTGTCCTCTTTCTAGGTCTTTATAGTGGAGCGAATGTTGTGTGGCCCAGGTCCTGGAAATTGTTCAATGTTCTCTAAGGACAGAGGGTGTATAAATATAAGCTGCAGCGCAAAGACATGAGACAAACCATACCAAAAAACAACCTTCAGGGATCTGATCTTATCGAAACAATCTTCAGCACTGACAGTAAAGAACACTACACTTTCACATGCATTCTGCCATTTTGAAGAGAAGCTGCATGAAAAGCAGATCAATGGTGGGCAGTTCTTCTCACTGGTCTGTCGTCCAAGCATGCACAATTTTGGAGCGGGTACTGTTGCTATGGCAACAACAGCCTCTCCAATTAAAGCTTTTAAGTAGAGCAGTATTTCAAAAAAATAACAAACTCAAGACTAAATCATCATTTTATAACAGTGAAGTTGAATGAGATGGACTGGTAGGCTCTGTTTTAACCAAATACCTCACAATGGATGTGCTGACACTATTGTATCAGTACAGGCTCATCTGTATCGTTGACCCAGGACAGTTGGAGTAAAGTCATGAAGAGAACGACAGGGATGGCCAGATATATTCCCTTCCATACAGTGTGTCACCGCTCACACTCTATAAAGCTAAATATGGAGAGGAATGGTACACTAAATATATGTCAGCACTGATGTCTGTGCATGTCCATTATGAGCAAGGACAGCTAAAAACACACACAGATTGAACTGCACATTCATAGTTTTTTATCAAATGAAACATGGTTATGTGTATTGTGCACATGCATAATGACCACCAGAAAAAAACACCTTTGCTGACTTGACTTATTAATTACTACCAGATAAATTTGGAATCATTTTCCCCATAGACCACATCAAACTCAAGGCCCGCGGGCCACATCTGGCCCAGCGTACAATTACATCCGGGCCGCAAGATCATGTTATATATCTTTTTTTTAATGGCCCGGCGATATGAAGCACCGATAACACACAAACTACAAATCCCATAATGCAGTGCAACAGCTGCCTTATTGAACGATAGGCTACCTGTGGTCATTCCCGCGTCATCAATCAAGCGTCTGTTGAATTATACAACCCTAATTTCAAGTCAAAGCTAGCCCCTAACAATGGCCAAGAGAAAAGTTGATTCTGAAAACAGAGCCTTTCAAAACCGGTGGGAGGCTGAATATATGTTTACTGACATTGCCGGTAAACCCGTGTGTCTTATTTGTGGAGCTAATGTGGCTGTAATTAAGGAATATAACCTAAGACGGCACTACGAGACAAAACATCAGGACAAGCTGAGAAACGTGAATGCAGAGCAGAAGCTACACAAGGTAGAGGAGTTGAAGAGGAATCTGACATCACAGCAGATGTTTTCACCAAAGCGAAATCACAGTGAAGCTGCTGTGAAAGCAAGTTTTATTGTGGCAGAGGAGAAAATCAGCTCAGCCATTTACCGAGGGAGAGTTTCTGAAGAGCTGCATGATGAAAGTGTGTGACGTCTTGTGTCCAGACAAAAAGCAGGTGTTTTCGCAAATGTAAGCCTTAGCAGAAATACGGTTGCTGATTTGAAGTTCAAGTTAATTTATTTTGGAATAATATTGTATCCTGTCTGTTTCCATCCATATTTATGTTCAAAAAACATTGTTTTAGTCTGTTCAATACATTTTTATCCTGTTCTGCCCGTGACCTAAAGTGTGCTTTGAGTTTTGGCCCCCTGTGCGATTGAGTTTGACACCCCTGGCATAGACTGTTGACAGGACACGTTAATGTGAAATCCTGGTGAACCATTAGTCTTTATATTGAATTATTTTAAGCCAAATGTTCAGAGCCATGCCTACATGGAACCTTGTGCTGATGCAGTGAATCCACATGGCACCTGGGCTTGGGGGATCCCCCCTAGTAACCAGGACAAAACAGTAGGCAGAAAGGAACTGAGAAGGATGGGATAGACTAGAGGGCGGGATGGTTTTATGAAAAACTAAAGCACTCTGCTGGTAGAGAGCAGAAGTATTTATAGGCAGGTAGCAGCGGAAGTCATGCATTAGGGGATTGGTCCTGCTCCTGAACCTCCAGTGTTCATCTTCATTTCATTGGTCAGAACCATGCCTATGTGGAACTTTGTTCTGCTGCTGCTTGATGAATGTGAGAGCATTTTCGGGGAAGGCTTCCAGTGAATCTGCATGGCACTTGAGCCTGGTGCATCCCTAAAAGACCTTCCTAAGAAGAGAGCAGATTTAAACTTATGCACATCCTGAGGGTTAAGGGGATGTACTGCTGGTGGGCATGCAAGCCTTCATCACTTAATCTTTGCAAGGCGGTTACCTTGCTAGCTGCTGTAGTTGCTGCTCTGATCCTAAATGGGAGATTGGAGAAGCATTGGCCACAAATCAGCAAACCATGTATTGCTCTACAAGCCATCACAAAACCTACTGAGGGCACAACCAGGAAAAGTAGATGACAGTGGAGGGGGCATGCACAGAGAAGGAGTGGCTCAGGCAGGAGAACACCATGGAGTCGAGGAACCTTGAAAAGTAGGGGACAAAAAAACAAGGAGTCACAGCCTGGTCTCAGGGAGTGGCAGGCAGAGCAGGAAAAGAGGGGTGCAGGGTGGCGGTGCCTAAAACACCCATTGCTGATGGAGGAGGAACTGCTGGAGGCAAGGCTGCAGCTTCGGTCAGGGAAACAGGGAAGACGCCAGTGTAAGTTGGCAGGGGAGAATGCAAAGTGCATCCCGGTGATGGTACAGGTACAAGGTGAGAAGGCCACAGACAGCCTGGTGCCTGTGGAGGAAAAGATAAGTGGCAGCTCGGTGTCAGGAAAGGGAAGGTAGCCCAGTACCCAAAGAAGATGGAAAGGAGGAAAGGAGCGGGAGAGACAACAGAACAGGAGGAGGCAGCTCGGCACCCGGATAAAAAAGAAACGGGGAACGCAGATAGAAGAAAGACAGCCTGGGGCCTGATGCTGGAGGCAGAAGGGCAGCCCACTATGCCAGATGGAGGCATGTGGCCAGGACAGGGCCAGACGGCATCTCAGAGACTGGTGGAAACCCACCATGAAGCAGAAACACTTGTGGAGGAAGGTGAATACCATGAACAAGGGACAGGAACACATCCACTGAAGCAGAATGGGAGACAGACTTCATGAACAGCCATGGAAGGCGAGTATGGTTAGAGACTGCAGCCACTGTTTTCTAGGAACTAAAGCACTAAAGCGCTCTGAAGGTGGAAAGTGGAAGTATTTACGTCACGGGGGAAGGCGTGTGTTAGTGACATCGTCCTGTTCCTGATCCTCTGATGTTCATTTTCATTTGTGTGACATTATCACAAGCTAAAGTTTGTAGGACCTGCAGGCAGGATTATGTAAATCCACTTTGGGCCAGAACAAACAAACATTAACCTCTAGAGTCCTGAGCTTTGGAATGTCTCCCAACAGGAAGCTCACAAAGTCAAAGTGTCCTTTGCCAAGACACTGAACAGGGACCAGAAGCTAGTTATTAACTGGCACTATCTTTGGGTTTAAAATGCAACTATTTATTTGTGAAGTGTTGGAAGATTAACATCTTCAGTAGGAACCAGTGGTCTCATGGCTCAGAGCCACAGGCAGGTTAAAGAAGACCCCATGTCTCCCACTATCAGTGTCTTACATTCACATTAATTCATTTGACGATTTGTCCTTTTGATGTACAAATTTGGTACAATCAAACAAGAGTAGATCATAAAGAAATCTTCAAAAAAGAAGTGTACAAGTTCCAGGTCACTGTTACATGAGTACAGTGGTGCGGTGGGTAGAGCAGTTGTCTCCCAACAGGAAGATTACAGGTTTGAATCTCGGTGCCTGCAGCCCACAAAGTCAAAGTGTCCTTTGCCAAGACACTGAGCACACCAAACATGGATGCCTAACATTCAAGGTATTTAAACCTAATTTTAATGAATGTGGTACTGTACACTATAATGTCAAGACCCAGTTTGTTTATCCCTCACAAGTCACCTTAAGTTGTTTTTTTATGGTAAGCAGCAACAAAAAGTCAAATTATGCTGGTTTTATGACAAAATTAAAGTATCTCTGTGTGAGAAATGGATGGAAATATTATGTGTATTGTATCATATTTATGCATTTATTGCAGATGCAGGGCTCCACCACATAAATCTATGAATTTTAGGGTGACAACTTGGTTTATCGTTAGGGTTAGTGTTATACAAATAGTGGTTAGTTTAAGGTTATGCTTCATCTCCAGGAACTGAATGTAATTCAATGTAAAGTCCCTGTGTCAAATTAAAACAAATCTGTGTGTGTGTGTGTGTGTGTGTGTGTGTGTGTGTGTGTGTGTGTGTACCTTTGTATTACTTGCATCATGACACACTCACACTGAGGGGACTTGGCCATCCTTGTGGGGACCAGAAGCTAGTTCGCACAAGGAAATCATTGAATTTTAGGGTGGCAACATGGTTTAGGGTTAGGATGAGGTTAGGGTCAGGGTTATGGTTAGGCAGGTAGTGGTTATGGTTAAGGTTAGGATAAGTCTACAGGAAATGAATGTAAGTAAATGTAAAGTCCCCACAAGGAATGGAAACGCAGCATATGTGTGTGTGTGTACATTTGTGGAGCAGTTGTTTGGTAGAGGTATTTCAGGCACATGGTCTGTGACAGACTCATAGGGAGCAGAAAGAGACAGAGACAGAGAGGGAGAAGGAGGGAGTCTTCCCAGTCACTCTGAATCTCTCTCAGCCTACACAATCTCCCGGCACAACCCAGGGCTCAGTAATGTTGGAGGCACTGTGAGAATAAGCTCTGTCTTTCACACACGCTCTGCTATCACCTGCTTGAGGACACACAGCACACACCCGGTGAGTAGATCTCTCATTCAGTGTTACTGTTTGCATTTGGCTCTGCTACACTAATGTAGAAGCTGAGTGGCTTCGACCAGATGTATATTGTACTCTTGTCAGATCAGAGAAATCAGTATGTGCACTGATTACCACTGTGTTGTAAACTATTCTTTGTACATAATTTCTGCTATAAGTCAGTTATCCAGAGGTAACTGGTTGTCATTGAGAAGGAGCCAGGAGGGTCTCTTGCTTCTGTAGTCTTCACTCTTTCAAGCTATCAGTTCTTTGCAGCATCCCAGGTAGGGTCTGATTTTAACTATAAAATACTTTTACTCAGAGATGGACACACATGCAAGGAGAAGTTGAGGATCCTTAAAAGCTTCTAAATGGCATCTTGTCATACTATTTTCATGCTCTTCAGAAATTATATACAAAACTGACCATCTTTATGACCCCAACCTCAAAATGTACAGTATGTTGGTGTGAAAATGTATGTAGTGCACGCAGACACACACAAACCCACACACACACACACACACACACACACACACACACACACATACATATGTACTCCCACATACATGCTGTTGTTTTGAGCTGCCGGCAGAAAACAAATCACCTTGTGCCCTTTCTTTTCCATTCATTCCTCTCAGATCAACATTGTGGGTGGCCTAGCATTTTTATTCTTGTGGGGATCCAAAACTGGGAACCCATTTAAAACTGGGGATTCACCTTCCTCTTGGAAACCAGATGCAGGTCCCCACAAAGTAAATTGTTGAATTTTAGGAAAATGACTTGGTGCAATTTTAGGGTTAGGTTAAGGCTAGGTTAAGGGTTGGGGTTAGGCAAGTAGTGGTGATGGTTAAGGTTAGGGTGAGTCTCCAGGAAATGAATGTAACTCAATTTAAAGACCTGCTATGTGACAAAAAAATAAAGCTGTGCATGTGTGTTGTATTACTGTAAATCCAAAAATTTAGTAAGAAGAAGTTGGTGTAATATAAGCCCAATGAAATCCATTTAAACTTGATTAGGTAATCATACTAAATGTAAATGTTACCTTTATAGACCGCCACCAACAAGCTAAAAGCATGGCATGACATGAATACAGTTATCTCATACAGGTCTTTGAAAGAATTTGGGCATACATATTTACAAAAATGTCTTTAAATTCTTGAGCAAATGCATAAGGTATGTTTGATTTGATTTGATTTATTCTTTCAAGCATGTAAAGACAGTTGATATGTCAACACACATAATTTTACACATATCCAACAAATGCTAATCCAATATCAATTTGCTTATACCTAGTACATGCTTGAATGTAGTAGGAAGAAGTCAGACTTATCCAGTCCTACCCCATGACATCATCTTACCATCATTGGTTTGCAAGCAGTATCTCTACATAGATAATTCTCTTCTACACCACACAAGTAATATACTAAAAAATTATAACAGAGTGTTAACATTCTTACATAATTACATTCTTAAATAATTATTTTCTACATGACACAAGTAATATACTAAAAAATTATTACATTATGTTCATTTGGTACTTGTCAATCAATTCTGGCTCAAGAATTCAACTTATTAATGACTGTGAAATGACTGGACTCAAGACATTTAGAGGTGTTAGAGACTGTAATGCTGTTAATGTTACTTCATTGTTGAATTCCCCCTAGGATGGCACAGTAGAACAACTAGTATCTTGTTTATCTGAAGTCAGAATGGGCCACAGTGTTAATCAAAGGCCAATATAACTTTGATAAACTGGTGTTTAGCAGATCTTGCTTTAGACTAGTAAGGGAATGCTGTTAGCCTTGTGTGTTGTTAATCCATCATAGATTAGATTAAGGAAGGAGGAGCAGGGATTAGAAATCAGGAGGACCTTATCTGAATGGCCAGACAGACAGTGAGGCTTTGGGGTCATGTCACTAGGACTGCAGTCTGGTATGGATCATGGACAGAGCACTGATCCAAAGACCTGAAGGGATTTTATCCAAATTCAAAAGGCAGACATATACATCACAGGAGAGCTGTGAACAAGCAATACTTTAAATATAAAAGAACCACTAATCCCTCCTAGGTTACATTATTTTCAGAGGAGTAAGGTACCATAGGTTCAGTCGTGTGTAGTTTCTTTGAACTCTTGAACACTTCTCTGCTCTAGTTTGGCTCATGACTCATGGTTTGTGGTGGCTACAGATGAGGGAATTTAGTGACTCTTAGTGCAGAGACACACCAGGATGAAGTGAAAGAAATAGTAGTGACAAAGGCCAACCTTTGCGTCGCCTCATGTCAGCTTTGTCTAGGTCAGTCAGGGTGAAAAATTGACACTTGAACACCTCGCCCAGACTGTAGCCTATGGCCAACTAGCACATACTGTACATTCTGCACATTCATTCATTCATCTTCTACCGCGTAATCCCTGCGTTCTGCACATGCGTGACAGAAATAACTTCCCAACCACAAGGTGGTAGTATTTGTATTCACCACTCACAAAGGGAAATTCAGTTAATTGGACATGATTTGGAAAGGCATACACCTGTCTATATAAAGGTCCCACAGTTAACAGTGCATGTCAGAGCACAAACCAAGCCATGAAGTCCAAGGAATTGTCTGTAGATCTCTGAGACAGGATTGTATCAAGGCACAAATCTGGGGAAGGGTACAGGAAGATTTCTGCAGCATTGAAGATCCCAATGAGCACAGTGGCCTTCATCATCCAGAAATGGAAGCAGTTTGGAACCACCAGGACTCTTCCTAGAGCAGCCCGCCCGGCCAAACTGAGCGATCGAGAGAGAAGGACCTTAGTCAGGGAGGTGGCCAAGAACCCGATGGTCACTCTGAAAGAGCTCCAGCATTTCTCTGTGGAGAGAGGAGAACCTTCCAGAAGAACAACCATCTCTGCAGCCCTCCACCAATCAGGCCTGTATGGTAGAGTGGCCAGACGGAAACCACTCCTCAGTAAAACACATGGCAGCCCACCTGGTGTTTGCCAAAAGGCACCTGAAGGTCTCTCAGACCACGAGAAACAAAACTCTCTGGTCCGATGAAACAAAGATTGAACTCATGTCTGGAGGAAACCAGGCACCACTTACCACCTGGCCAATAGCATCCCTACAGTGAAGCATGGTGGTAGAAGCATTGAGCTGTGGGGATGTTTTTCAGCGGCAGGAATTAGTCCTGCCGACTACATCCTAGATCCTGAGACTAGTCAGGATCAAGGAAACAATGACTGCAGCAAAGTACAGAAACATCCTTGATGAAAACCTGTTCCAGAGCGCTCTGGACCTCAGACTGGGGCGATGGTTTATCTTTCAACAGGACACCAACCCTAAGCACACAACCATGTTAACAAAGGAATGGCTACGGGACAACTCTGTGAATGTCCGTGAGTGGTCCAGCCTGAGCCCAGACTTGAACCTGATTGAACATCTCTGGAGAGATTTGAAAATGGCTGTGCACTGATGCTCCCCATCCAACCTGATGGAGCTTGAGAGGTACTGCAAAGAAGAATGGGAGAAACAGCCCAAAAATAGACAGGTGGTATGCCTTTCCAAATGATGTGCAATTAACTGAATTTCCCTTTGTGAATGGTGAATACAGATACCACCACCTTGTGGTTGGGAAGTTATTTCTGTGTTATTTTATGTGCAGAACGTACAAAACGAACACTGCTGACAGAGGCTGACTTGTGCCAATAGTGCTGGACACACCAGGAGGATGAGCACTGCGAGACCCTCGAAGCCTGACAGCAGACAGCCATTGGCTTGGTGCGTTGCGACTTTTAGGGCTCTATTTTTCTGCCAGCACAGTTTCTGCTTCCTTTCAAAATTATTGACAGTTTTTCAAATTCATCAGAAATAGTTGTATTTCCAGCATGTGATGCTCCTTTAATTTGTAATGAAACTCACTTGTAGCAATCAGCAGGTGCTGGAAACATAGAAATCACACTTGAACCAGTTAAAATGGAGAAAAGATGACTCAGCCTTTGTGTAGTGTGGACCACACTGAGCATAGCGAAAAGAAAAAAGAGCAAAGAATTGTCTGAGGATTTAAGAACCACAATAGTGGAAAAGCCTGGACAGTCTCAAGGCTACAAGTCCATCTCCAGAGATCTGGCTGTTCCTGTGTCCACTGTGCACAACACTGTCAAGATGTTTACAGCCCATGGCGCTGTAGCTGATCTGCCTGGATGTGGACAAAAGAGAAAAATAAATGACAATTGCAACCAAGCCTTGTTTGAATGATGGATAAAGAGCCTCAATCAACTTTCAAACCAGTTCAGGCTGACCTGCAGGCATAGGGTGCAACAGTGTCAGCTCGCACTATCTGTCGCCATCTGAATGACAAGGGACACTATGGTAAGAGCCCCAGGGGGCCCCACTGCTGACACAGAAACATAAAAAACCAGATTGGATTTGCCAAAACCTGCCTGAGGAAGCCACAATCCTTCTGGGAGAATGTCCTGTGGACAGATGAGCCTGAAACAAAGCTTTTTGGTCGAGCACATCATTCTACTGTTTTCAGAAAACAACATGAGGCCTTCAAAGAAAAGAACACGGCCCCTAAAGTCAAACATGGTGGAGGTTCACTGATGTTCTGGGGTTGCTTTACTGTTTCAGGTACTGGATGGCTTAACCTTGTGTATGGCGTTATGAAATCTGAAGACTACCAATGAATTCTGGGGCAAAATGTAGGGCCCAGTGTCAGAAAGTTGGGTCTCTGTCAGTGGCCATGGGTCTTACAGCAGGACAATGACCCAAAGCAGACTTTAAAAAGCACCAGAAATGGTTTCAGACAATGA